CGTAAGCACTTGGATTACTTTAAAGAACGTTGATTGGCTTATAAATGTCATTTATTGGTTGAATCAAAATAGTGCGTCTATAGTTTTGTTACACCCGAAATTTCGAAAATTTGATTTTTTTCGGGATCCACAAATACTTGAGCAAAATCCTTCTGTAGAGGTGCCTGGAAGCACTGTTTAAAGGTTTTTGCCTTTGATGGTTTTGAATAAAACTTCAAATTTATGACAAACTCAAAAAAATGGAGGTGCGTCTATAGTTTTGTTCCGGACTGTAGTCTCGCAGTTAGTCATATTGGTCCGTCATGGTTTTCATCTCTGATTAGTCGGTATATCTGTCTACTCGCAGAACACACCCACGTGGTCGGTCTCTCTCAACAGTCTCTAGCTTTGGCAATGTCGAGCGCTTTCATCTCGGACAAGTAGGACGGGTTCACGCCCGCGGCTTCCAACTCGGCGACTTCTTGGATGCGAATGTGCTCGAGTTTCTGCAGTTCGTCCGCATACTCTTGCTTGAGAGCCTTGCCTTCGAGCTGGACTTTAACAAATTTCTCCTTGGCGAGCACTTGCTTGTCTTCAATCTGCTTTTGCAGCGCCACGCGGTGCGCTGTCCGTTTCTTATGGAGCTGTTCCTCTCGGTCCTGGAACTGCCGTTTGTCCGCTTCAACTTGGCCGATGATGTTTTCATACTCATGTTTCTGCTGCAGCGCTTCTTGGATCTTGGATCGTTGGCGGTGCATCGCCTGCGCCTCCCGTGACACTCGGAGTTCATCCATCTCCTTCTTCATTTTGCGTTCCATGGCCACGTCCGCCTCGCGCGCCGCGCGCTCCCGCGCTTCCACCGCGCGCTTGGCCCTCAACTCGTCCAGCTGCGCTTTCTCGTTGGCCGCTCGTTCCTGGGTCGACCGCAGCTTGGCGCAGCGGAGTTCGGCTTCCTGCCGCTTGCGCGCGTCTTGTTCTTCGCGGAGCCGCGCGTCCTCGTCTTTTTTGCGCTGATATGCCACGACCTTTTCATCTTCTAGCGCAATGAGCTGGGCGTGTTGTTGTTTTTTCAGCATGGCCGCTTGGTTGAACGCCCGCACTTCGTCCATGGCTTTCTGGGCGCGTGCTACCTTTTGTTTATCGCGAATGGCTTCTTCCTGCTGGGCTTGGCAGATTTTCTCTAGCATTTCGCCGGCTTCTTGCTCGACGAGTTTCTGCGCACGTTCGTTAAACAACCGGCGTTCGTGGATCTGTTCCTCTAGAACTTTGCGGTCATGCATGCGTTTGAGCTTTTTTTCGTCGGCAATGTCTTCCTGCCGCTTTAACCCTTCCAACCGATCCAGCTCCATCATCAAGTTGATCTGGTCGTTTTGCTTGTCATGATCTTCTTCGATCTTTTTCTTGCGTTTAATTTGCTCGTCGCGTATCGTAAACGCCGCTGCCCGCGCCCCCAATGTCTTCATCAACTTGACGCTGTCGTGGGCTTGATCTTTCAACACCGCCGCGCGTTTTCGAATCGCGTCGTTTTCTTGGTCAAACAACGTCTCAATCTCCGACTTTGGCGCGCGTTTCGCCGCTTCCGCCGCGCGTTCCATCATGTGTTGCTAACCAAGTCGCAACGTGACCACGGAATCGATTTCAATCGCAAGCATGTCTTGGTATTTGAATCATATATTGTCGTCGATTAGAACAACGTACCAACAGGCACATGAATATATATATATATATATATATATATATCCCACCGGGTCATGGCATCGATTTGTAATAAAATCTCCATTTTGGACAGTCATATGAACTATATATACATCATGTCATGGAATGATTCGATTGGAGGTTTGAATGCTCGTTTCATGGAAAAATCAATGACTCTTGTCGATTTCAATACCGTGCAATAGTGTCTGTCGTAGGCATACATAATCGACGATCGATTTTCGAAGTCGATTGGGGATTTAATCCAATGAAAAAAAAAGCAATACTAGTACTTCGAAGTATATAATATATATCATTCTCGTTTGGTTGCAGGTCTGTTGGTACCTTACCTTGCGGGCCTTGGCATGCATGCGTAGGTTTTCCGCGTCGGCTTCTTTTTGAGCGGCAATGGCTTCGATTTCAGAATCCGTCAAGATGCGCGTCTCGTTCTACATGCATGACAGTTGCTAAGCAACGACGACGTGTACATGATGAAAGAAGGCGGCACACAGTTCCAACATAGTACCCGGATGCGCTGTAGTTCGTTTACTGGCAGGACGGCACACACGTCGCTGGGTCGAACTCGCTTTGGCGATGCAGCAGCAGCAGGAGAAGCTGTGAGTTTGGTATCTGGCTCCGTTTCTTGGTTTGTCGACCCATTTACAATCTCGCTGCAAGACACCAGCACAACGACAACATGAGTCCCATAAATCGACCACTTTAACAAAAGATGTGACATGGTACCGGCCAGCAAGTTGACTTCGTTTGGTTCCTTGTTTGCCCTGGCGCGTACCAACCCCCGATCGGGACGATGTTGACCCAAACAGCGTGTCGTCGACGCTCTCTTTAGACGCTAGCCGACGATACTTGCGGTTCTGGTTGTTGGTGCGCGAGGATGCGGAGGAGGTCCCCATGCTTCGCGACGACAGTGGCTCCATCACGGCCTAGCACGTTCGAAGCCGCGGCGGTGGCAAGTCGTGTGGAGTGTTGCGGTTACAGGTCGTCGAAACTGGGGCTAAAAATAGACAACTATGCAGGGCCGCCATTTTTGATCGAGTCTGCAGTATCACACTAATTTCAGTCACACACGAATTCGGTGTTGAATTGGTCGATGAGTGAATTTGATTGGCCACTTGATCTGTTTCTGGACTTTGATTGGTCGATCGATTGTCTGCCGATTTGGTGCTTAGTTGTCTTTTTATGAATATAGTACCAATTTCATGGAAATAATTTACAAATATTCGGTCCTTTTTGCAACCAAATTCAACACAATTTGGAGAAAACATGTCGAAATATTATCCAATCATCTTGCGCGTTAATTGCATTAGCATGAGCAAGGCGCGAGTCCTGCTGGACGAATCGAGTGCCGTGGACCGACACTTTCGGCTCAAATGCATTCCAACGAGTATGGCCAGCACCAACAGCGACGACGATGGGAAAGCCGAGGCGATGTCCAACCTGGTGCTGGTTGAGGACAAGCTCGCCTCCGGCGGTGTGGGACGGGTCGTTCTGGAGCACGTCGTGCTGCAACTCACCAAGTCCTCCAGGGCCAAGCGCTTCATCCATGTCCATCTGGTACGTCCATAACCCAGTCGAACACACACATATGTATATCCAAGGACGTCGTGATTTGAGTAGGAAACGGATGGCTCGTCCGAGAAGGAGGCACTGCATTTGAACTACACGGGCGACATTCGTGGATGGTTCACAGTCGGGAACGCCACCTTGCTCGAGCGAATCTATAACGACATCATCCAAGCCCAAGCCGGGGAAGCATCCTCCACGTCATCATGTGCCGTCGTGATCGATTCGTTGTCAGAGTTGCTGCAGCAATTTTCGCTTCGAGACGTGTCGACGTTCTTGGCTCGTGTGTACCAATGTATGTACTATATTGTTGTCAAGAATCTCTCTTTTGGCAATATGTATTTGAACATGCAATGTTGGAGTTTGCTGGGCGTATATATATATATATATATATAATATTGTGAAGATATTGTCAAATCGATTCGAAACTGAAGTCCTCCTCAGCAAGCATCGAATGTCTTGAGCGAATGGATTAAAGAACTGCCTAAGCCAATCAAATCATTTTCTGGTGAATTTCTGCCAATCCAAACGCTTCACTCGGCCCAGTATTGGGCAACATCTTATATATACTAATCTTTGTATGGCATAGTTTGTACTATCTAAAATTGGTTAGTTCAAATGGATAGAAATGGATGGTATGAATGCTAGTTGGTGAAATCACTCCCAAGTCCAAATTTGGGTGAAATGCACAATATTAGTATATATATGAATATCACTTAAAGATAAGAAAGAATAGATGATATCACGATGTGCTCCTAGTACCGACGGTGGTTGTCGTGGTGTCCCGATACAATGCATCGCTGCACAAGCCCACGACCACGCTAGGTCTTCGTGTATGTCTGAATAAATGAATGATCATTTATCTCCACGTACGATTTTTTATTATCGTTTATAGACGCTAGCGAAAACGTTGGTGAACGTTGAAACTACAGCGTCGATCGCAGCCTATCCGCTCTTGTCTGTCGAAAGCAAGCGGCGGCTTCCCCATGGAATGCACGGCATGGTGACGCTGCTCCACAAATCCACGGTACGAGTGGTGTGAATAATCAATAATATCTATTCGTATATATAAATAATCGATTCGCATAATATAATACCTCACCAATGGGTATGACTTGACCTTTTTATATGGAATTCCCTTTTTTATACTAGTATTGAATTGTTCCTTCGGCTATGCATATTATAAGCGTGATCATCCGAAGAGATACGAGGATTCCATTTTTGCCGTGGATTGTACGTTGGCAATGTCATCGTATTGACTGTGAATGCATATATATATATATATATGCTTACGATGTAGACATATACAGTATTTATATAAATAATAATACAATATATTTATATATTGTATTAAATATATAAAAATAAATAGTACTATATATATATATATATACATTGTATTAACTATATAAATACTGTATATGCCTGCATCGTACGCATACGTATTGACTGTGAATACTATATATATATTGTATTATATATATAAATACTGTACATGCCTGCATCGTAAGCATATGTATTGACTGTGAATGCATATATATATATTGTATTAAATATATAAATACTGTATATGCCTACATCGTAAGCATATGTATTGACTGTAAATGCATATATATATATAGAGTGAGAGAGAGAGAGTGAGTATTAAAGATATAGATACATGCCTCCATCGTGAGTGTGGAATGGGGTTTGAACTCACCAGTCTTGTCGGTAGCATGGCCAAGCGACGGATGTAATCGAGTATTTCACGTTCGAAGTCACGGCAGGCCGTCGGTCGTTGCTCATGTGGACCAAGCAACGAGCTGAGCAACGAGTGTCGCATAACGCCACCCTTGGATCAACCAAAACGGAGGAGGACCCTGCGCTGGGCTCGCTCTTGTCGGACTTGACTTTCAATTTAACAGTGTCCGAGCGTGACAGCGCCGCCCGAAAGCAAGTGGTGCTGCCGTATCAGCACCAAAACCACCAAAGCACTCCGTTGTTTTTCATCGATGACGACGACCCAGACTGGGATGACGACGATTTAGACGATGATCTAGACATTTAAGCCAGCGAGTAGAGGTCCTTGTATGAGTTTGGCAACGTTATTGTTGAGATTATTCGAAGGATGAATCCACACAACCAATATATATATATATATGTATATGTATGTACAGATTAATTGGCCGGCAGTCGTGTTGAGCGAATCCGATTGCAAGAAAAAAACAACCTCGAAAACTTCGTGTGTGACTCGAATTAGTGTGAATTCACCATCACCAAATGGTTCACGGTAACGATGTTGCAACGTATCGATCGATAGATTTGGCGAATGTCGTCCAAGTTTTGGGTACCGCGTATATAGGTAGGTTTAGACAGCCATATAAATTTGGACTCCTCTGTAAAATTATATAATCCTCTGTAAAATTATATAGTTGGATTCTTACACTTGATTATTGTATGCCTATGGTATTCGACACTATCCGGATACTTGCATGTCAAGGGCAGAAGAATTTCGCAACCACTTTCGACACGATATACTAGCGCCACACGCCTGGATATCATCATCACACCTAGTGTACTTCAAAGTATGAACGTACTCGGTGGCAAATGCTGACGCGTCTACAATCCGCCGTCTAAATACGTCGAAGACTCCGTCCGTTCCATTTCAAGAAAGCACTGATGGCACTACGTACTACCACTGACAAGGTGGTGGTGATGTTATCGTGCCAACACCAGCCTTGTACAGTATATGTACAATATAGTACTGTATACTTCAAAGTACAAGTACTTTTCGCCCCATTTTGCCAAATTTTAAAGATTGTTGGCTGGGAAATCAACATCAAACCGAGCAAAGCAACATGATTGGATAAAAAAACCTCTTTAACATCGATGTATATTATATTTCGCAAGTACGATCGGATCAATCAACCAACTACTGTACGGAAATGTAGAGTATCAATAGTATAACACGTCGAACATGGAGGCAGTAAGCTTAGTCCAAGGCAACTAACTACATCTCGAAGCAATACTTTATGTGACGGGTGTTGCATTGGATTCAACTATTTACTGCTCCGAAAGGAAACTGTGTGTGATGGATGGAGTACATACAGTATTGCTTCGAAGTACAATTGTAACAACGCAATATTGATTGGATCGAGTCCATTATTACGATAGACGGTTTCAAAATACACCCAATCAAGCAGGTGACCGTTTCGAGGCCGTTACTTTTTCTTGCCGCCTTTCTTGCCGCCTTTTTTCTTTTTGCCAGTGTCGGCGGCGTTTTTCTTTTCATCTAACAAGGCCTTGTGCGTTCGATACGCGATTTGGATCTTTCGGATCGCAATCAGCTGCTTCTTTTCCTCGTCGCGCTTGAGCAGGTCGAGCTCTTTGAGGCGTCGCTTCTCCGTCTCCTTGTTCTTCTGCAGCTCGACTTCTTCAACCCATCGCTTTTGAAGCCCTTCCAACTTGATCAAGTTGGCCGCGCGCTCGTCCGTCAGCCGCGCGAGTTCCTTTTGCTTGGCAGCGACGTCCGACTCGTACTTGTCGGTCCAGTGCGTAAACTCGTGCGTTAAGCGTTCGTGTTTGCCTCGTAAAAATGTAACCGTTTCATCATGGACGCGCGTTTCCGTGTCGCATTGCGTGGCCAGGACGCTGATCTTGTCTCGCTGTTCGGCAATCAGTTGCTGGTACAGGCGTGACGTGGACGCGGTCTTGGCTTTGGCTTCGTTCCTGGCGTATCGAATGTCGATTTGGGTCTTGGACTTGACTTGGAGCAGTTGTTCCTTCAACACCGCGATCGCCGCTTTTTGCTCGGCCACGTCCCGCGTGTGCTCGATCTTTTCCCGGGCCAACTCGGTCGTTAGCCGCCTCACCTCCTCCACCGCCTCCTTCTCCGTCTCGATCAGATCCGCTGCCTTGTCCGCTGCGTTCTTCCCTTCTGTCACGTACGTCACGAGCGAGTCGTACGTGCACATCTTGAGTTCGCGCTTGGTTTCATCAAGCAAGTCGACCAACGCCTGCCGCTCGTATTGAATTTTCAGCAAATTCCCGCCAAAGTTGGGGTTGTCCTAGATACAGACAGTAGGCAGATGCCAGTTGGACTTGTCATTTTATACGCGTTCCACAACACAAGACAGACCGACACTGGTGACCCCAGTACAGTACGTACACTACGAGAGATACAATTGTCATAGAGTTAGTACCTTGAGGTTCCGACATAGACTTCTCGTAGATTCTCGCAACGCACGACTCACTTCTTGGATTTCGCGCTGGTTTTCTTTGAATTTGGACTTGTTGGCTAGTCCCTACAAAACCCCAGCATCCTCGTATGCGTTCGGTTGGGAGGAGCATGGGCAAAACTTGGTTTGTCGTACAAGGTACAAACAATCCAAAAAGCAACGAGTACAGGGTGTTTGTGTATACAGTATGTGGGGTGGAACGGCCAGGCTTACCTTGAGCACGCTTCGTTGGGAAATGAGGCTTTCGTACTTGGCTTCGAGACGCCGTTGATCCTGAATGATGCGCGAAATCTCGTCGCCCACAACTTGGGACAATTCCTCGCGGTGCTGCAAAATGTCTGGCGTGATGCTGCCCAAAAATGATAACTTTTCGATGGTTTCTTCGATGATCGCACTCGCGCGGGTCGCTTCGATGGGGGACAGTCGATGCCCGGACGTGGGGGCTGGCGCCGACTTCATTCTCGGCAATCCAGTAACGAGTAACGGTGGGGTTGAGTTCAACTCGGATGAAACCGACAATATGAAACCGTTTGGAAATGTGTACCTGCAACTGGCTAAAGGACTTCTTCGTTGGGATGTGTGTATCAAGAAGCCAGCATTACCCTCCTCTGTGGAGGCGCGTTGCAATCGTATTCGAGGAACCTAAACAATATGGTACTTCGCAACACAATTTCCCCTGAACCAAGTCATCCCGTTTCAACCATGCATTCGTACAAATATTTTGTCCGTAGAATAATTATTAATAATACCTACAACTACTCCGGAGTAACTTACTGGAAGCCTGCCCAAACCTCCTCCCGCATGCTAGAGCTCGCAAATGTGCCATTTCTCGATGAATAATCCTGGTAGCAAATTGCGTAAGGGTAAAAACTGTCTCAGAAATATGAAATATGGATCGATCGCATTTACGCTACGTACATGTATATTATACAGTGCTGGCAAAAAGTTTAACGTTATCTTCCAAGTGCGCGGAGTAGCTTGTCGTCCTTAGGTCGTATCCGGATGAGGTTGTTTGCGGAGGTTTTCGCAGTCCCCCACTGTACAGACCCTGCCCCCTTCATTCCCCCCAGACCTCCCTCGCAATATATACGAATGCAAAATACTGTTTTTTCTTGTCTCAAAGTTTATATCTCGTTCGCACTCCTTGCATTCAAGCATATCTATCTACCTTCATCTACCTATGCATCCATAATCAATGCCTTGGTCAAGTACAAATACTTTGTTGCTCGATTTCTATGACGGACATACACCAATCGCAACCTTAAAATAGCATCACGCGGTGAAACGGCGGCGAGCAGGGTGGGGGTTTCACACGGAAATACATTTGTATTTGTGAAAAGGCGCCACATTGCTCGCGCCTCGTCGAAACGACCTCCGCCACTCCTCGGATAATCCAGCCAGCCTGCCAACCCTCTCTCTCTTTCCTCTTCGTCATCGTTCGTCGTCGGTTCTTGTACCAAAGCAGCAGCATATCCCCATATTCTCGACATGGGCAGTGGGGCGAGCAACTTCCAGCGCCGCGGCAGTGCTAATGCCGGCAACAAAGCGCCAGCGAAAATGACTGGCCGGGGGGTGCCTGCACCACTCGTGGCGGCCAACACGCAGTGGAAGATGGTGCCGCAGACGATTTCCCGGGACAAGTCTCTCAAGTCATTGGACGAAGCCGAGCTCAACTCGATGCTCAACGACCCTGTGGGCCAAAAGCATATTGGCAACTACGCCAAGAAGATCCTGACGTCGGAATCGTTTTACTGCTGGATCGAAATCCTAGAGTTTCGGGACGCCCCGTCCTCGGGATACCAGCGAAGCGTGGCCAAACACATTTACAAAAAGTACGTCCGCAAAGGCGCATCCATGGCCCTGGGGGGGCTCACCCGCGAAATCGTCGCCGAGTTTGACGTAAGTGATAAGTGACGATCAACTAGCTGTCGATCACTGGATATGTGTGCCTTGAGACTGGGCGGCTAAAGATATACGATGTGTCTGTCCTTGGTTGAATCTCCATTGTATATGCGTCGCTTTGGAGAGACATCTGGTTGGTCGAGTACGGGATTGCACTAGTGTGACTGGGGTTGTACCGAGCACATGTTTGACTTGTGTAACACCATTCGTCTGGGGTATGACTTGTGTGTGGTTTGTAGCAAAAACTCGCGGTTATCGACTCGGCGCCCAACGTGATCAACCAAGACTTTTTCGCGTCGATTCAAAAGCTGTGTTTTGACGACATGTGCCGCAACACGTACCACCGGTTCAAGTCGTCCCCCGAGTTTGACTTGTACAAACTCGAGCTCAAAGACACGTACAACAAGGTCACGGTCGACGACTTTGACTACCTCGAGCTGCTCGGCAGTGGCGGATTTGGACGGGTCGTGCACGCCCGGAAAAAATCGACTGGCAAACACTACGGTATATTGGATGTCTCTGGGATTTATGTATGCCTTGACGGACGGTCTTATGCAAAATACTACTTACATCCTTGTTGAACGAGTATGTTGTCAATGTCGTCTTGGTTTTGGGGAGATGTTATCAATAATGTTGTTTTGTTGCTGTTGTAGCATACTTCATATGTATGATGCTTGAGTATATGTGGTACTATAGAGTGTCGATAATTGAATAACGATGCACTTGAAGTATGATATACATGTTTGGCGGGGCCAAGACCTGACGGGATGATTGACATTTTGTAGCAATGAAAATCCAATTGAAAAACGGGTTGTTGCACGAGCACCAAGACCAACTGGATCAAATCACGTCGGAGAAGGACATTTTGCAGATCTGCAACCACCCGTACATATTGGACATGCACTACAGTTTCCAAACATCCGCGCATGCGATCATCGTGACGGAATTGGTGCGCGGCGGCGACCTGAACGAGCTCATGAAAACGTCCAAGAAGGGGTACCTCCCCGAAGGTCGGGTGCGGCTGTACGCTGCCGAAATCGCCTTGGCACTCAACCATTTGCACGAGTTGGGGCTGATTTACCGCGACTTGAAGCCGTGCAACGTCTTGCTTGGCGAAGACGGACACCTTGTGCTGGCGGACATGGGGCTAGCCACAGGCCTCGAAGAGATCCGCGCCAAGAAGAAGGAAAAAGAAAAAGCGACTGAGCGTGCGCTACAAGTCCTCAACGATGCCAAGCGACAGCAAGGAAAGGGCGACGACGACGATGACTTGCCCGTGCCCGTGGTGGTGCCGACGCCGCACTCGGAAGCCGAAGCCCAAAAACGTCAGGATGAAGAGAACGCCACCCCGTCGACCAACAGCCAGCTGCAAAACATCCCCAAGTCGTTTGCCCGCCCGCCCGATGCCAAGTACACGCGCCGCAAGACCACGGTCGGTACCAAGGGCTACATGGCCCCGGAACTCATCTCGGGGAAGCTGCTGCGACGGGAAGAACGCCCGGGGTACAACTACACGATCGACTATTGGTCGTTGGGGGTCACCGTGTACGAACTCGTGTGTGGGTATCAGCCGTTCAATTTGTACAATGTCCTGGGGGATGGCTTCCTCGCCGAGATCGCGCAAGAAGTTGAAGTCGCCAAGTTGAGTCCACGGTCGCAGTATCGCGCAGAACTGGAGCGCATGGCGGCGGGCGTCGACTACCCTGAATACGTACGTTTGTTTGTTTGTCTGTAAAGGTGTCGTGTGTGTGCAAGTTGCCGAGTCACGAGAAATTGTAACATTGTCATGTGTGGTGGTTTTGTAGGTATCGGAAGAAGTCCGCGACTTTATCAACAAGTTGCTCGATGTCAACGCGAGCTCGCGCATGGGGTGTACGACCCGTGGCTTTTTGGATATCATGGAACACCCGTACTTTAAAGATTTGGACTGGGAGCGCCTCATGGTCAAGCACGTTCAGCCAGAGTTTACGCCCACGGTGAAACCCCTCACCGATCGCAAAACATATTCCAACTTTTGGAACATGATGGCGCACTTCGACGCCCGTGACAAGCACTTTATTCGGCGTAAGGGGCTCGCTCGATGATGTCTTTTGTGTTTGTTTGTCGTGTATGTCTCCATCATTCCCTAACGAAAAGGGGGGGGGTTTGGGGGGCATGTAGTGTGTGTGGTAGTTGTGTATCCATATTGAGAGTATTTGTGGTTGTTTTGTAGACGACTGGTACCAAGACCCGCCACCGGAGAAACAAAAAGCGTTTGAACACTGGGACTACATTTCCCCGCACACGCTCAAGGCCGAGCTCGGCATTGCCACGGAAATGGATGAGTCGAATCGGCCGTACAAGATCCTCCAGTTGACAGGCGAGACGGCCGGGTAGGAGTAGCGAGCGCGAGAGGACGACGATGACGTGGCAGGCGGGCACGTGTGCGTGCGAGGTCGTTGTCGCTTAATAGACAGACTTTTTCTGCGTATTTGTACAAACGAGGTTGTCGTGGACGTCCGATGCAATACTAGTAACAACCATGTGCAACTTGAACAGTGGGTGTCTTGAGCCCAAGGGCTCAAGCTAAAGTTGACATGGGACTTCTGCTTTGGCTGTGTTGCGAGTAGTACAGTAGTTCAGACTGCAAGAACACTGCAGATCCGACGAATTCGTCGACAACATTGCGACGACCAAACAGTGATGTCACTCACGTGGTGTACAGTACTAACTAGTACATGTTTATTGGTGGTTTGACCTGAATAAGCAGTACCTATTGTACCAAGAACGTAGCGCTGTGCACATATGCATGCATGGCAAGTCGGCAGTTCGAATGGACAATTCGCACCAAGCTTATTCTGACTTGAGTGTGAGCTACTACTGCATGACCTAGTATTTCATGTGGAAGTAGATGGAGTACGGAAGGTGTAGTCCGACCCGATGGCTACTAGCGCCGTATGTGAATAGATCGCACAGACTACAGCTACAAATGCAGGTGATGTTGGCCCTCAGCAAAAAATTAGAGTTTCTATGGAAGTTGTATCCTCATTATGTTTCAGAGAGGTGGTACAATTTGTCATCATCAGGCTCGTTCAATACACAGTGCTACGTCAAAAGTGCGGCTATAACGGTATACTAGTCAGCCATCCATCGTCGATGGAGCAAATTCAAGAATGAGGTTGCCCTTTTGTCACGCACGACCAAACGACCTTTCCGCCCAACCAACCAAATCTCACGTTCATTTCTGCCAGTCGTTTAAGACGTCTTGGATTGGCTGGTTTAACGGACGATATCCAAGGATATCCGGATTTGAATCCCAGCATCCAAGGACAACCAACCCACCCCATTCACTCACTATGAACATTTGACGCGCTCAAACAGTGAAGACATGATATTATTGGCGGCAACAATCGATCCATTAGTTTCATGAACTTTGAAATCTCAAAGTCTACAGTCTTTCCATCAACCCAATCGAGCCAAAACATGGAAAAATAGGCCGATAATTTTCCAAATAAAGTCCAAAATTGGTGCGAAATTGACCGATAGTTACAGTAAACTAGTACGAGTCTGTATTGACGACCTTTGACAAAAAGATCGCGTGAGGTTCATGCCGTGGCGCAATGAAGAATGGCCGTCCACTTTGGCCGCCACATCCCGAACTAGCTTCACGTGCGTTGGTAGTCAAACTCACGCGGTCATGAGTGAGGATGCCTGCTGCTTCTAACGATATTGCGAACCATGACATGTGTAGGTCCATGGCTGCAAGGTACCAATCCGAGTTGGAACAACTGGCTAGCTCGCCCATCATGCAAACATGCGACGACACAACATCCACACGCACCACCGTCACTGAGTTAGGGGGCAACGAGACGACGAGGGTACGATGGCGAACAAAGCTACTTCAGGAGATCGCGGGTGGCTTGACCAACACCCCCCCCCAATCCCCTTCGCAGCATCTTGACTACATCTCCGCCACAATCGCCAAGCCCTTGATGTGTACACCAGAGAGTCCTCTGACCAAACTCCGTAAACAGGTATATTCGTGGACACGTCCCAGTTCGTACACACATGCGACTACTCAATGGCTTTCGTTTATAGCGAGAGTTATTGCAATCGAGATTATTACCCCCAGACAAAGCGGCCACCGCTGTACCGTTGGCTGCCCTGTAAGCACCGCTACTAACGATGCGTGTTGTGCTAAATGATTTTGATGACGCAGGCACCCGTCGAAAACTAGTCCCACGGACCATGATCCCATCGGCTACGATGACGTGGCACAGCCACAGCCTATGAACATCCCCGTGATTCCCCATGTCAAGCCAACGCTGCCAAACGCAAAACTCCATGAGTTTCCTGCTACGTCTGTCGTGGCACAACTCCAAGTCGCGAATGAAGCACGGCACGAGGTATCCGTCCAAAACCACGACGTGTTATTTGCTGCCAAAGTACACACGTACAAACAACTGCTGGAGCGAGTCCTTTTGGGACAGGGGCTCCAGTCCCCCCCACAGCACCACCATCATAGGCAGACCTTCGACAACGGTGTAGCCACAAGTAAACAATATGCCGCGCTAGCCAGCTGTGCTTGTTCATCCAACGAGTCAACCCATCCGAGCAGCGAAGCAAGCTTGGCGGGCAGTCACCTCGCAACACCTCCAAACACTTCGAACTACGAAAAATCAACCATTTTTCAGCCAGTTTTTATCGACACCCAACCATGCAAGGTGGTACACTCACCACCACATACTGAACCACCCGCCACGTCTTCCCCAACGGCAACGCCTAGGAAAGCACTGCTGTTGTCTGCAATCGAGAAATCTGTGGACGTAGTTGGCAACACGGAGGCTGAAACTTGTCCGGCATGCGACACAGAGACCTCTCAAGACAAGGATCGCGTTCGTTTCGATGCCACGAACGAGTCCGCTTTGTCAAGCCAGGGTCTTGCATGTACCGTATCGCCGACGGATGTCGTCGTGCCGCCTTCGCTGCACATCGTCACACCCTCTTGCAATGTCGCAGTTGGAGGCATACTTTCGCAAAGTATAGAGTATTGCGTGGCTTCACCTCGTTCCAGTGACCTCCGTGGTGTGTACACTCCGTCCGACTTGATTCCATATTCCAACATGGATAGTTGCACGTTTCAAGGCCCCGTGGACAAGTCGACGATAAGCATGACTGTATTGAACGCGTTTGAATGTCAGACCTTCGAGCATGTCGCTACCGTTCGTACGACCGACATGATTCCGTTGGACAGTATGCCGATTACGCCGCCATCAACAACCCCCACAACCCCTTGTCCAAACAAAATAACACCATCCCTCCACGACCATGTCTCCAAGCTTGGCCTCATTGGAATCGCATCTCGAGGGGCACCTTATACGACTAAACAAGCCGCCGCCGCCACCACCTCCACCCCCCCCCCATCGCCAGACTTTGTGCCACTGCCTTCGTTGGCCTGCGACACAGGCTATTGTCATACTGATTTTGCACCCGTGGAGGACATGATTCCCCTCCCAGCCCCCCGTTGCAGAAGCCCCAGATTGAACCACCGCCATGGACATAACAGCACGATCGCACAGTTCAAGGCACGGGGTCACTGGAAACTTGGCCGTTCCAACGTAGACCTCGTCGGGTTGGATGTGATGGAAGGAATGTCATCAGCATGTTGCCGCGACGAAGATTCGAACAAAATGCCATCAAGTAAGTACGATGGCATGAGCTCTTGTGTTCTCGTCGATCGGAACTTCGTTCTGCAGCCGGGTAAATGGACGAGCGGCGGCGGCGGCGAGGGGGTTAGTAGCCAAGGACGTTGTGCCTATAGGGCAGCTTTGCACGATGGTTGGCCTCGTCAAGGCAACTGCATTTCCGACCGCGCGACCGCTTCAAGTGTCCAAGCCTGTCGCCACGTCTTGAACGCTGATGCTGCTGCTGTATCAACTGCCTCGTTCAACACATGGCACCAGCGTCACGAGCCTGAAACTACGGTAGTTCAAGTCGTCCCCCCACCAGCCATACTACTGCAGTCGTCGGATGGTTCAAGTGGCATGTCATCGCTGTGGACGAATGCGATATCGGACACTACCGGTAGACAATCAAGCGACACCCATCGACCGCCACGACGTACAAGTAGCAACAGCCATCCGATTTGCATTGTCCCCAACAAGCTGAGACATGCCGGGCTTCCCCACACGTTTTGGGCGGCGGGGTTGGGCGCGTAATAATACCAGTCTGGCAAATGTGGGCGATAATTATTTGTGTGTGTCGTTGTACCCGTTCGACAATGATCGCTTGTGTGCGTCAGGTCCCAAACTAACTAAGGTACAGGTGGCATCATTTGCATGTCCTGCCACGACTCGAAACGTCAGAATAACGCACGTTAAACAACGCCAAAGTAGTAGGCTTCTTGGATTGAATCATCAAGTCGGCTTCGTGGTGGCGCCGCCTTTACAGGGCCGGTCTGTCCTTTTCATGCCATTATCGACAGGGGCATCACTACATCCACACCGGTACCAATAACGACATTAGCCCCGACATAGAGCACCACCATAGGGTTTCCTCGTGCAGAATTGCCAGTGTATATTACCAGTAACACATCAACAACCAAACAATCTAATTCCACACATATGGCGCAGACCTGTGCGTTTTTGCTGGACATACTCATCTACATCTCGCAGTACACCACACCCGTACTGTAATGCCAGCGTGCCCAGTGACAACCCGTCAGTATGTATTGTCGTACCTACTCCCAGCCCTCAAAGTCACATAAGTATGCGTACAGTCTGTACCGTACGTTGGGTTATATCGTCTTCATCACATGGGTCAAATGTCTGATTTGCAGGAGTTTGATTGGATCATGTCCTTTCAAGTCAGCGATCCAAATATCCGAAATACAGACAGAATACTTGGCAGGGCAAGAAGCGAATTAATTTGACCGGTAGCGTTTGTAAGCCGAGGAATTTCGTGCCGCCGACCAGAGAGCGTATGAGCGACGAGGGAAAGGTGGTAGTGCCGGCCTATGGCGCTCTGCCGCTGGAATCCAGTGGGGCGAGCAAGCTTAAGCTCCGATCCCAATCCAACCGCGAGCTAGCCCAGTCGGCGCGCGGCGCGCGGCGCAACACATCGTTGTCCGTGTCGACTGGCGGGTTCGTCCAACACAGCGGCCACGGCGTTCGAACGTCGGCATTGACCAACAACCTCGTGGGGATGGCGCAATCCGCACCGGGAAAGAAGAAGGTCAGGGGGAACAGCCTGTTTGACGGCCTGAGCATGTCGTCGTCGGCTTCGTCTCGCCGCCGTACATCGCGGGGCTTGGCCCAGACGACGACCTCATCGCTCGAGTCGTTTCAGTCGACACTGGGAAATCGGATGGTCACTGCGCTGACGCCACGGACCGGCTACGCATGCGCCACGTGTGGCACGAGTCTGGTCGTGACGTGGCCCGAAGCAGCAGCAGGGGAGGACTCGGTGGCGGCGGCGGCCGCGCGCTTGCTCCACTTGGACGTGGTGCCTCCTCCAGCACGGACCGCCAAACACAACGACGACAACGAAGAGGGTGCAGAAGACGACGACGTTGCGAAGAAGAATGCAGTGTTTGTTCGCGAACATGTATGGGAGAACCAGTACTTTAGCGTGTCCGAGGCCAAGTGGAGTCGCGATTTTGTCGACCTCGTGGGCATGTCTCCATATTCGAGCGACGACATGGAGCCATTGCAGTCGCTGCCAGAACCATGGACGATCGGCCAGACGAGTTCCTGGGTCGACGACTGGACGCCCGTGGCCTCGCATGAAGAGGATCCAGGCGGCTGGCACTATGCAGTGTCGTTTCACGCGTTGTCACATAGTACTCCTATGGACGAACCCTTAGTGGACACGACAGAAATTAGTGTGACACGGCGCGCGCGACGACGGCAGCTCGTTCGCCATCGGACCATCGACCCCACCGAAAATGGATGGATGGGCGAGCTCAAGCATCGAAGGTATGTCCCTCTATCTAACTATATATATATATACGAAAATGATGAAATATATTTGTTTGTGGCTCACGCGTGGAATATGGTGGTATGGAGGATAGTGTGACGCATTCGCTGGCCAAGACGCCGTTGTGTCATACGTGTGCACTCAAGTTGACACAGTCTTTACAAGCGTACGTAACACTCCATATATGTATATATATAGTAGTAATAGTACAATAATATCACGGCCGATATATATATATATATAAATATCTAAACGCATACTCTGTGTGTTTCGTTTGTTGATGATGATATATATTCATCCAAGCTATCGTTCTTTAAATGAACGATTCATCTATATTTATATCAAACTTATTTTCTTTGTGTTATAGGGAGTTGGACAAACTATACACTGTTGCAACACAGTACGACGTGTACCTGCTTGGGACTTCGAATCCCATCACCAAGGACCAGCATCATCTGGTTATACCTCACGACAATATGGACATCCTCCAAGGAGCATCCCATGTGGGCAGTACTACTAGTACCCACGAACCCCCATCTACATCACATCACGATGTCTTTACCACTCCCATCAGCAGCTCTGCCCAACATCAGAGCACCCCCGAGCATGCCGAGACTGATCTTCGGGACCTTTCCCATCTTCCCCAACCCCCTCAACTGGCCGACCACGTCATCGACTTGGACTTGCTATCGCTGGACCAGTTGCGCCGCGAAGAGGCGGCCCTGGCGGCGCTGGTGGCCGACTTGGAAGCTTCTTGCATTTCCACGAGCCAAACGCGGCAACTTGTGTGGCAATGTGCTGCGAACTTGCAGCATATGACACAGCAGACGTTTATAGCTGGGGGGCTTCTCCAGCTCGATCACCACTGGACGAGTCAAGAGCGGGCGTCCGTGGGGGTGTTTGCTGTGCATGCATCCGATATGCTGCGCTGTCTGCAGCGGTACAATGTGTTCAATGATGCATTCCATATTTGGCATGAAGGGCCGTTTGGCACGATCAACGGGCTCCGGCTTGGGCGGCTGCCGAGCCGGCCGGTCGAGTGGGCAGAAATCAACGCCGCCCTCGGCCAAGCGACGCTGCTGCTCACGACTGTGGCTCAGCGCGCCGGCATGGTGTTTGCAAAGCATGTACCTGTGGCCCGAGGGAGCTACTCCAAGATGCTGGTTGCGCAAGGAAGCGGCGTGAAACGAAAGGAGTACCCGCTATTTAACGACGGCGGGTTTCTCCAGCGGCAAAAGTTCAACACTGCGCTCAAATGTTTGCTGGAGTGTGTGGACGAAGCTGGCAGACAAGCGATCGTGGAAGAGCCATCCCTCCGGTTCCCGTACAAAATCACCCGCGCTAAGATTGGAGACCTGAGCATTGAAGTGGGCGGCAACGACGAGCAGTGGACCAGGGCACTCAAGTATCTCCTCACGCACTTGAAATGGCTCCTCGCGTGGGTCGCAAAACGATATCCGTAGAAAAGTAATCCTATACTATGGTATATTACTGAGACTGTTGCAAGCTTAGTAATAGTTTGTAGAAACAATTTACTAGTACTAGTGATTTTGCTAATGCGATTGATTGGCCGATCTCGACTTGCAATTGCCATTCCATTGGCCAATTGGAGTGCACTAATAACTCACGGTATCACCGAATGATTGGCTAATCTGATATTGCTTGTCGCGGATTGGATGATATCAATATTCAGAAAATGAGCCAATGAAATCTAGTAACCCTCTGTCCAATCAAAATGCTTCAGAATGTCAAATCAACCAATGAAACGCCCTGCAATTGGGCAGGTGTAACGGTCATTTTCGAAAATGCTAGTCAAGCTGTTCTGTGTCGTGGTCGGCGAGGGGCGCCCTTTCTCCGTCCAGATAGATGCCGACGAGACTGTGCATGACCTGAAGAACATAATCAAGGAAAGTATCATGCACCACGGCCGTGCGGATGCCCTGGAGCTGTAGCGGGCGTACAGGGACGGTGCGTGGTTGAAGAGCGATGGCGCCAAACTTATGACCGTTGACGACCTTGACGGCTTGGACGCGATGGATCCAGTGCTGTATATCCGAAACCCGAAGCACTTTGGAAATACGTTTGCACCGAACGAGGGCGAGATTCACATCGTGGTGCTTGTTCCTCCAGAAGACCACCCGAGTAAGCGACAATGTTTGGCGGATGTCGAAGTACGTGACCTGTTGCGAGAGCACTCGCTTCCAGGCATGGAATTCACGGACGCTCTGCAAAAACCGCTTGGGTTCAAGATTCCCATCCCGCATCCGAACCACGTATCTCAGTGGCCCAACACGTTCACGCAAGGACAGGCCGAGTTTGGGAGTTTCGTCGACGCGTTGCTGAGGCCCCCGATTGTGAACGATGGTGCCACCACGGCTGTGTATCCCCTGGATGCTTTGTGGCTGAGCCTGTTTAGGAATCTGTGCGTGTGCTCGATTTACGAGGATGAATACAGTCGACGTACGAACCCCACGAATAATGCAAGCATTGTCAAAGGCAGAGTGTTGGTGGGCAAGTGCGAGCCCAAAGCGTCCGATGACGCTATGGCAAGTGCAAAGGAAGACCTGACAAAAGACATGCCTGTCGATGCCATTTGCACCTTTCCCAAAGGCCTGGATTCGTTCAAACTTCTCAAGGTGGGTAACGTTACATGCGGTTCAAGAGCCCAATACGAGGATGCATGTCGTTGAAGGAGTTCCGTGGCGGCGATGCTGACATGATGCCCACGATCGAACGGTTGGTGACCAAGTTCCCAGAGGAAGCTGTCGTTGTTGATATGGACATTATCGATCGCATCTACCAAACATTGTAAAATGCCATGGATGAATTCAGAGGCACACGGCATTTGATGATCGTTGACCAAGTTAAGCTAGCGCTGGACGAACTCCACAGCTTGGGAGTGGCGCATTGCGATGTGCGACCGGCCAATGTATTTGTCCTTAACACCAAACGAGTCATCTTGGAGTACTGCCGACCCGTGGATGCACCGCCGCCACCAAACATCAAGTGTGTTCCCACTAGCTTTACATGTAAAACGGCGCTCGAGTTGGACGTATTTCAGTTTATTTGGGTTCAGGACGACTTGGCCAGATATAGTTAGTTGCCTCTGGTTTGACCAGCTTCCGAATGGAATATTCGTCTCGATCTATATTGTTTGCTCGTGTACTGTACCGGTATTAGTATAAACTAAACTGTTCTAACGTGAACTACCAATATTATTTCGCTTTTCAGTCAAATTTGCCTATTTTGGGAGATTGATAAAATCGCCGACTAATCGAGCAAAGGAGTATGATTGGCAACAAAGAATGAAGGTAATTGGTCAAAGAGTGGATTTGATTGGCTAGTTGATTCGTGTTGTGGGTTTTGATTGGTCGTATATCGATTATCTGCCGACTTGGTACTTCTGCTCATTCGATTGAGCATCCAAATACTTCAATTTCGAATATATCGACTTGACAATGTTAAACACAGACGATGGTGGAGGTCCCTATATACTAGTATATATTAGGTATACTGTTGTATCGCCCACAACTTTGCAATAAACAACAACACCTCTTTTATCGTTATTTCCACAAGGTTCACACACAAGTCCCCAACAAGTTACGACAAGAGTGCCATAAGCGACTTGATAGCTTCCTTGGGCGTGTGCATGTGGTCGTAGCCTTTGAATTCAGTCGCGTGGAATGCATTAAACAGCGAGCCACGGACAGCATGAGATACGTCAACCATCCGATCCACGTCGCCCAAAGACGCCTCCACGAACTGCATCTACTCTTGCAAGTTGTTGAAATATATCCCAGCAACTTGTCTATTTACCTTGGTGCCAACATCCGTCACTCGCGCAGTTAACGACCGCTGGTCTGTGGCAATTTGAACGGGAAATGATGAACAATAATGAAACGGACTCTCGGACGAAAACGAAGGCGGCGACGCAGCAGATGTCAAAGTTGAAGGTACAGCGTCTTCAAAAGCTCTCCATTCTTGTTCGCAGTCGTTCAAGCTAAGGATGATGGTGATATATATATATATATTGTCGATTTTCGTCAAATTTCCCAATTTCGCATGGTTCGTTCAATCGAGCAAAATAGAGCCAAGACATCTGATTGGCCAATATCCACTTTGCCCTTTCCAGTAGAAACTCGAAAATGAATTTTAGCCAATCAGCGACAAGCAATCTCGGATTGACCAATGGGAGAGATTGGTGCTCGATTCGCTTGGCGAGATTCGATTGAACGGGGTCCGCAAATTCATACCGAATCTCCAATATATATATAAATATATATATATTCTTATAACGTGATTGCTAACGAGGACATGTGTAGTACACGTAGACGACAGTATCGTGAAATAAATAAAATACGTCAATCCAAGGGGCTCGTGCATAGATCGTAATGGAGTATATTGCAATAAAATAGTTTGTCTTGACAAAAAATGAGTTATAATAAAACGAAAACAAAAATAAATACATCGTTCCATGCATACTACTAGTACAAAGGCAACGATTGATCGTAAACGTCTGAGAAAGGTAATAAATATATATATATATCAACATTTTTGAAATTGTAGAATATTAATACCTTTGCAACTTTGCTTCAAGCGATGCAACGACTGCGTGCACTGTATTCCCGCTGTCGTGGGCGTGACTTGATGGGGACGGGTCCTACATACCGCCGCTGCTTCGTGAATGGTGCCAACATGTGGAAGTATACGTACTGCTGGGGCGACGAACTCTCGCTTGATCGCATCCGCCGCCGCGTCCACTAGACAAGTTCATGTGAGCGCGGTAGATGCGGACTTGGAAGTCGTACAAACATGCACGAGCTGCGTCGAGTCCTTGCCGTGATGGAGCGCCGCTATGTGATGCTGGATCTTCTTCTGCAAGACACCACATAATGCGTCGAAGATCTCGAGCTTTTGACGGTCGTTGGCGGATGTCAATTGGTTGCGAACGTTCGATTCCACTTCGCTGATGCGATGTACCCGTGGTGTGGTGGAGGGTTTCGTGGACGAGTTAGCATGTACCGTGGTCGGACGAAGGGGAGTGCAAAGGTCCACCGTGTTGTCTGCGTGCTGCTTCGCCGGCAACGAAGGGGATTTGGCGGTGGCCTTGCCCTTGGGTTTGGTCACGGGGGTCATTTCGTCGTCGGGTCGATTCTTCTTCGTGAACACGAATGGCGACGCTTGCTTCTGTGGTGTTCGGAACTCAAACTTCCTCTTCCTACGTACACATGCATGATGTGGCGACGCATGGAGAGACATACCTTTCTCGAGCATCCTTTCCCATGCTGCCGCCCTGGTTTGAAATTTCGAGCGGACGCACTTCACTGGCTCGATTCTAGCCAATCCAACCACACGATACTCGTATCCGGCTGATTAACCGGATAAGTCTTTTTTTAAAGGATTGAACACGCATACAAAATCAAAAGGAATTTATAAAATAATATCTTTGGAATTTTTAAATGCAATTGAAATGGTGCCAAGTATATTATAGCCAATCGGGTGTAATCTAAGCCAATATCTCGCAATGATTGGTTTTAATACCAAAATGATTGTCCAATCAGATCGTGTTATTTGGACTTGGAGGATTCATCTTGATCTAACTGTACAGGGCTTCGAAAGAGTTGGCGGACGATGGCGCGCCAGAGACGTGAGGTCCGCCTTGCTTGGTCGATTCCACTTGGACCAGCGGGGTAATGCCATGGAAAGCTGCGGCGATCTGAGACACCGTCGACGACGAATGGTGCAGCGTCACAAACACCGAGCAATCTTGTTGGCGGAGTTCACACTATAAAAGATCGCGTTGAAGATGAGCAGTCCAGCATACCATCATGGAACACGTACGTAGGTGAGAAGGGCGGCAGGTATACCCGTGACGAAGCGAGGAGATGCCAAGATGGGAACGTCCTGAGGAATCATTCGTCAGACAGGATGAGAGATGGGGTAGGTACTATCTGCATACATACGTGGACAGGTGCTTCGACGGACGAAGTCGTGCGGAGCATTCGCAACACGCACGCTTCATGCAGTTCGGAATCGTACGTCAATGACATCAACGTGCTCATGCTGATCACATTTCGCGGCGCAATGTGGTCGAAGAGGGATTCGATCCATATCCACACGTGCTCGTCGGCCACGTCCAGCGGTGCGACGACGACAACTTTGTCACTCGAGAGCGACACGATGGAGCAGACGGCAGAAGGGTCCAAGGACGACAGGCTTGTATCCACCTACAGGGAATCTCATATGTCTGTAACTACTCGGATGATGTGCAATCGTACAATGAAGGTGGTGGACAACACCAACGTCCCGAGAACGCGGGCTTCGGGTGTGCACGCGACGATTTGCTGCATGATGCTGGCCGCGCGTCGCCCCGTTGCAATCACAAGCTCATTCGGCGTCAGCTTGGACTCGTTCTGACGTTGGAGACTTGCACGAACATGAGGACTCCACTACACGATGCGGCACGACGTCAACGATGCATGGGTAAGGTACGTACGCGAAAGACGGCCGTCACAGGTCGCTTCGTCAATCCATTCGTTGATGTAGGGGATGGCGGCAGGTCGTTCAATGCAGCGCGGGACGAGAAGTCCGCCTCGCCCGGGTACCGCAGTTGCAGTGCCATGTTTGGTTTGTGGAATGCCGCCCATGTCAGATTTGTACTACTAGTAGCTCAACTAGTAGGCTTTCCACGATTATCCTAACTTAGGCATATGCCTAGGTTAAATAAGAAAATCTGATGCCTAATTTATTCGTTTTTTCTAGATTAGGCAATGGTTTAGTACTCAAGATAGTACTCCTAGCTTCATTCATCCGGATAACCCCGACGAGCGAATGTACAATAATTTGTCAAATTATTCAACATTGGCACCGCTATCCACCATGGACACGAGCGAGGATGGAGGGTGTGAGCACGACGGGTCCATTGGAAAGGACGGGTCGTTGGAGGTGATATGGAAGGACTCGCCCATCGAGAAGAAACTGCAGTCGAATGGGATGTCGAATCGACACTCGAATCAGTCGGAGCTGCGCGGCTTCGTGCACAGCTTGATCTCGAGCCCGTCACCAAACAAAAACCAAACAAAGCCCAAAGCATCCACCACTAGCGTGGCGGTGGCGGACGCAAGGACCAGTGGAGGTGCTGGCACGACGCCAAGTAGCATTTCGCGCTTCATCGTGTTTAGCCCCGAGAGGGCCACTGCTACGTCGACAACGACGACTCACCACGACGCCCCAGCGGCGATGGGCTTTGTCACCAAGACGCCTCCAATCCATCGCCACAAACGCCGAAAGACAGGGAACGAACATGAAGACTTGATGTCGGTCTTGGACAAGCTCGACGAAGAGTACGCGGACACCCCCGAGAAAGCCATCGAGTCGGCTTTCGAGTCTCCTTTTTCCAAAGAAGCGTGGGATACCATTGAGCAAATGGAGATTGAAGCAACCCAGCAGTCCATTCAACGCCACGAGCTAAAGCCCGTTCAAACACACATCAGTCCTGCCGGCGATACGTTAAAGCCGCCGCCGCCGCCGCCACCCGCTCGACCAGCCGCCGCACCTTCTGCGACACCGTTAGACTACCTGCGATGTGTGGCCCTGGAAGTTCAAATCGAAACCCACCAGCGACAGAAAACGATTCGCGCGCTGGACGACGCCACCGACAAAACGATTGTGATTGGCCTTCGAGAAGACTGGTTTGACACGCCGCTGCAAGTCGGCGACACGTTCCACTTCATCTTTACGCCTAGTAGTACTAGTCGTACCGATAGTACTACTACTACTACCCACCCTACGAGCCAGCCGCTGGTCGCCGACAACTCGAGCCATCGCATCGTCTTGCATCCCGAGATCTTGGTACGGTCCTGCAATTGAAGTGTGTTTGTTTGCTTTGAAACATATATATATATATATATATATATATATAATAATACGATTTGACATGAAAGTTTTCATTGTCGATAATATCAAACTCTTGTACCATCGAAAGCTATAAAGTGCGTTTGGCCAAAAATGGGATTTTTTTGTGCTGCATCAAATATCCATCCATCCATCAGGTTTCACACTAATACAAGTCACACACTAATTCGGTGTGGAAGGATGTTGATTGGTTACTTGCTTTTATTAGTGTGCTGGGTTTTGATTGGTCAAATCGATATTGTCTGTCGATTTTCGTAGTTTTTCGATGGAGCACCCAAACTCTCCAACTTTTTCGAATTCCCAATATCAAATGTCCTCCATTCGACTTGGCATTTCAATGGAATAAACACGATATTATCGTGATTAAAATGGGATAATAGTACACATGTTGGTTTGATATATTCGATGATACGTATTGGGGTCTTGTATTAAAGTTGACAAGTGCAGGTATCGCCGACTACTGTGACCTCCAGCATGGGCTGTTCGCGCCGCGCGGTCCTCCAGCAAACGCTGACCATGCAGCGAAATGCTGGCGCCAAAGCATTGATCGGGACGTTAAAGCATCAGTTGTTTCAGCGAGCGTTGGAGTCGGGAACGTACTCGATTCCGTACTTGATTGAACAGAGCAAGCTTATCATCCAGTCCAAGTACGAATACCTGTGTCTGTATATATATATATGTTACGAATAGCAGTGTGCATATATATATAAATATTACGAATAGCTGTGTCCGTATATATATGTTACGAATAGCTGTATATATATATATATATATATATATATATATATATAATCTATGTTACGAATAGCAGTGTCCATATACTATTTATCGACGTAATATAGATGTTACGAATAGCTGTGTCCAATATATAGATGGTCGTTGGGGCCAACATTTGGACGTTTGTGCTGTCCATCGATTGGGTTTTGTACTTTAGCCAAAAGTTGGATGTTTGTGGGCTGATTCGCCAAATATGTAAAAATGGTTCAGTGTCACACTAATATACGTCACACACACGAATTCGATGTGGAAGAGACAGTTTGATTGGCTACTTGGATTCGAGTTCTGAGTTTTGATTGGTTAACGATCAAATGTCGATCGATTTGGGACTGCTCAATCGATTAAGCACCCCCCACTAAACACTTTCGAAAGAATTCGAATCGACTGGACCATACTGTAGTACTGCAGTTTGCATAAAAAATAGTGTGTCACACTAATTGAATAATGTGACAGTATTTATTCGAGGCGGTCGGCCTTGTGTGCGTTTCTACCTTCTGATTGGCTACCATTGTTTTTATTCCTATCTATTCCAAGTGAAAAATATAACCCATCACCAACTGTCCCATGTAAACTAACTATAAATGGTGTTATAGCTTGCTAAAGCTGCTCGAGTACGGCTTGTCCACCCAGCAAGCCAGCGACGAGCTCAAATTGTCCTTTCAAGGCATGTATAAATGGTTAAACCAAGCGCATCGCAATGGGATTCGAGTCAAAGGCGGTGGCAACAACTGCTCGGCGTTGTATCGGTTGCAAGCAGTGCTGTCGATTGAAGAGCCGCTGTGGTCGGTCAAATATGGGCTCAAGGGCGCCGTGGATGCTTGCTTGAATATGCAACATATTTCTCACGAGAAAGCAAACAAAATGATGGCATTTGAGCTAAAGACGGGCAAACCAACCAATTCCATCGACCATATCGGCCAAGTGTTGCTGTATACGCTTCTCCTGGACGAGCGGTATCAAGGTACTACTACTACTTACTAGTCCATATTAGTTGGTGTGTGTATCGTCGTGCATACTAGTAGTAGTCTCCCGTACGAGTTGGTGCCTGCATTTTTATCTGTTGTGGAAAGCTATGGTAGATAGATGCATATGTGGGATGGAGGTTTAAGTTTTGGGTGTTGAGAGGTGGAATATATATATATATATATATGGATGCATTCGTGTGTGGGGATAAGGACGTTGAACGTTATGGTGGCATGAATGGGGGTTTCTGTCAAAGACGGTAAATATTTTTAGGAATATGAACATATATTTGGGTCTCGACTGGTATATTTTATTTGGTTTTTCTGTCGAAGATGCATATTTTGATGAATTCGATTTGCTTTTTTTGTGAGGTCGAATACTAGGAGTATTTTATAAATGTGGGATACGATTTGAGTGTCAAATGATGGGTTTATAGTTTCTAACACTACGACTAGTATACTGTAAGTGTTTGTTTAAAGTGCGTCGTGAGTATTGGGGTTTGTGGGATATATATATATATGAAATATGAATATAGTTTTGTGAATGATGAATATATATATATGGACTTAGCCGTGAATGTGGTGATTAGGCAGTGCCGAGGGGTTGCTTCTGTATTTGCAAGATGTGGATTCGACCATGTTACAGCAGCCAGTGGAAGCCCATATTCGAGGGCTATTGCACTCTCGCAATCTCCATGCTGCGCATCTATTCCAAGCCAGGACGAGACAGTTGCTGCCGACGTTGCTCAAGAAGACATGGGAGTGCCAGAATTGCTTTGTCTCGGCCGAGTGTATGCTACACCACGCCGCCATTGAACGCGGCAGTGCCTTGTCCAGGTACAACCAACCCTATTTTAATCTTTTTTATATTTATTTATTTTATTCTATTTTATTTTATTATTTTCTATTTATTTTATTCTATTATTTTCGACGAACAAACGACGGTAGTCGGATGACAAAAGGGTGAAATAAAATATTGTTTTACACAAAACGTGAAAAACAAAAACGATTTTTTTAACATATTGTTTTACACAAAAGGGTGAAAAAACGATTTATTTTTTATTTTTTACATATTGTTTTTGTTTCTGGTCCCTTGAACCACCATCCATACTTATATATATGCGTTTTTTGTGTATGTACGTTGGTAGTGGCGTGCCCGACGTGTTTGACAAGGTCACGAGTCACTTGACCGTGCCAGAACTGACGTACTTTAAGAAGTGGATCCAGTTGCTTGAGTGGGAATCACGAAGCAACCAGAACACGTCAATGTTATTTCCACAGTGGAGCTGTACCGAGCCGAGACTGCTGTCCAATTTAAAAGCACAAACCCACGCCCCTGGCTTTGTCGAGCTCACATTTGGGGACGAAAGTACCAACTCTAGCTCGTTTGATGTGCTGTCCGACCTGAAAGTTCAAGACCGAGTGATACTGTCGGTGCAAAGTCCCACGCATTCCATTTTTCACGTGGCCAAGGCGTCGGTGGCAGGTGCGCTACATATATATATTTATAGATTCCCGACATCGAGTTTTGCTGCATTGGATTTTTTGTCCATTTTCTTAAAGGTCATGCAGACACTCCAAGTGATAATAATAATTAAAATTCAATGCTTGTATGGACGATGACATAATTTATTTTTTGTGTGAACTTGGGCAGTGTATATATATCCTGTTAGTACGTTTTGCATAATTGTCCGTTGACAGGGGTGAGAAGGGGGGGTAATTATTGTATTCTATATACCTAGTTTTGAGATTCAGATATTGGGTTGAATGAATGCCGCCGCCCAACAATTGCCGGACCTGCAAACCATGATATAAAATTTAAATTTAAAAAGGTATGTTTGTACATATACACCACGCATACTTTTTTTAGTTGTTGGTGTGATTTCAACTTGGCACAGCTCCATATTTCAGATATTATATGCAATATTAAGCTTAATACTTATAAATACATAGGAACACACAAGTTTATTTATATTTGGGTGAAATGGACAATATGTTACTCTCTTCCTTTATATTATTATCATGGTTGTTTGTGAAATATGTCACATTTGATACGCATCCCAATACATCTATTACATATGCATATCACATTGTATAGTATTTCCCAATTCTAATCCAAGAGTACTATACTTGGGTTTGTTAGCCGTGCACCCATCGTACCTTCGGCTATCGCTGTTTTCGGCTATCCCAGCCACCATCTTGCATGGCCAGTCGGTCGTGGGGTCCGCGTTTAGCTATCGCGTGGACAAGGACGCGACCTACTCGGGACTCCAAGCTGCGAAACACAATGTGCTGGCACTCATGGCAACTCCTGACATGGAAGCCAAGCGGAAACTCATCTGCCACTTGCATCCGCCGCGGTTCGCATCTTTGTCGGTGGAAGCGCGGGTCCGTCGGCGATGCTTGGACATTGGCGGCGGTGGGAATGATTGCGAGGCTTTACTGCGAGAGTTTTACTCGACCATGAACGCCGACCAACAGAAAGCCATCGAACAGGTACTTATATATATATATATACGATGACTTGTTTGTTTACTATTTTTTATTGCACAACGCGCACACGACGGACTACAAGAGTTCGTTCCAGGCGATTAAATGTCTATATATTATTATATATATATGTATGTATCCTTGTATTATTTTTATGGCCCAAACCAGTACTCGAGGCATTCTTTCCAAATGATATATATATATATACTGTGTGTATCTATATATATATTCCAGACGGTATATATAATAGATAAATGTACTTGTATCTGTTGCCCAAATCCGTACTCAAGGAATTGTTTGCAAGTGATATATATCTATCTATACATTCGACTCGAAAACCCATATACAACGGACTGTAACGACTCGTACTACTGCGCATATCTATGGTGTACAACACAGCCTTGAACGGCTGTTATTATATTGGACAAGTGGACCTATATATATACATATATATATGTATCGATTGAATGTAATGCAATATTGTATGTTCTATCTGGATATTGCATGTCGTAGATGCTCAATGCAAAAGACTATGCGTTGATCCTGGGCATGCCAGGTACGGGCAAGACCACTGCCATCACGATGGCGGTTCGCTTGCTTCGGTACCTGGGGCTATCGGTGCTCGTGACCAGCTACACACATGCCGCCGTGGACAACCTCCTCGTGAAGCTGCTTGACATGGACGTGTCCGTGCTCCGCATCGGCGGCACCCCCGCGCTCGTCCATCCCAAAGTTGGCCCCCATCGCCTCGAAGCCAAGTCGTTTGAGCATGCAGAACAGATGCGCCAGGCCATGCTGGATGCTTCGGTCGTTGGCTGCACGTGCCTATCGACCCACCACGTCCTGTTTGCCCATCGAAAGTTCGACGTGTGCATTGTGGACGAAGCCTCGCAGATCACACAGCCCGTGCTGTTGGGGGCGTTGCAACATGCGACAGTGTTTTGTTTAGTGGGTGACCATTACCAGGTAGTCGATATATATATATATATATTGTCCATCTATAGCCAAATTATATATATATATATATATATATTGTCCACTTGTTTTAGCCAAGCATTAAATCCCTATATATATATATATATATATATCCGAATTCTATATATATATATATATATATATATTGTCCTTTTTTTTTAGCCAAACGTTAAATGTATTTATGAGTGTGTGTGTGTGCGTGGGGAGTGGCGGTTGTTTTTGATGTTTATGAGCAACAGTCGTTCCGCGTCACATGAATAAGAATACGATTATATAGAGTAGAACCGAAAATAATATATTGTGTTTGCAACCGGGTTCTATATTTCATGTCACACACGACTTTGAGATGGGGAATGGTTGAAGCGAGAATTTGATTGGCTACTTGATTTTTGTGCTGGATTTTGATTGGTCGATTGATATTGACTGCCCAGTGAGTTGGGACTGCTCATAGTCGATGGAGAATGAATGGACCATATGACGAAAACGAGACACGAAATTGACTCACATATATATGGATGGTCTATGTGTATAATCATTGATAAATAAAATGAAAATATATAACTTTATATTTAAATATATCTTGTAGCTGCCACCGTTGGTCGTAGACGCGCAAGCCAAAACAGGCGGATTGGACTGGAGTTTGTTCAAGTGCTTGTCCGAAGCCCATCCGCAAGCCAGCACTGTGTTGGGGTACCAGTATCGCATGAACCAACACATTATGCTGCTGGCAAACCGACTCATTTACAACAACCAGCTCAAGTATGGTGGTCGGCGAGGAGATATTCGACCCAGTGGCGCTAGTAGTACTAGCAGTCTCGGACCTGTGGTTGTGCCAACAAGGCAGCAGCCTCCAGCACCGATTGGTCCTATGGCTCGAGCGACTACTAGTAGTAGTACTACTAGTACGCCCCCTTGGATCAGTCAAGTCTTGTCGCCCGAGATGGGCGTCGTGTTTGTAAACACCGACAGCCTCGTCCCAACCAGCGACGGTACTGTCCTTTTACCAATATATTTTGGCCTTTGATGCTAATTTCGCAAAATGTATATCTATTATCTATTCTTTATGGGAATGTCATCACATTAATTTATCTTACACTTTTTGACGATGGTTTTCTGCAACCTGATTGGCTACATACCTTTATCGTATATTGGTTGTATATATATATATATATATTGGTTGTATATATGTATGTCGCGATTCCAGTTTAGATTCAACACAACACTCAACACCCACCATTCACAAATATTAATAAAATAGAGAATAATAATAATATTCGTGTCAAAAGGGATTGATGGATTGGAAGTCCGCCAAGGCCGGTCTATAATCAACCCAACCGAAGCGCGGGTGGTGCTCGGTCTAGCGGGTTTGTTGTGTCAGCAGCAGCACCTGCTGGCCTGCGACAATGTGACGATTTTGAGTCCATTTCGATCGCAAGTCCAGTACTTGTCGCAGTTTCAAACCGCGCACGAGGTACATACTATCTTTTAAACGTTTGTTGGTTGTTTACGAGCCAACGACAAAGCTCGTGTAGCTAAATATATATATATATATATATATATATATATATTTGGATAGATTTCAACGATTGACACGTATCAAGGCAAAGACAAGCGCGTGGTATTCGTGTCGTTTGTACGATCCAACCGAGATGGCCATGTCGGCGACCTTCTCTTGGACTGGCGGCGCATAAATGTCGCGCTAACTCGCGCCAAGGACAAGCTCGTGCTGGTCGGGTCCAAGGCGACTCTGCGCCAGTCGCCTGTGCTGCATGCGCTGCTTACTTTGGTGGACCAGCAACACTGGGGTATCGACGTGCCTTGTGGGGTCGTGGGGTTGCCCCACCTTGTCGCAGGTCAGAATAAAACCAGTCGTGTGCGACGGGGTGCAGAGATGGGAGCCACAACGTCGTCACACATGTACACGGTGGTGCCGCCTTCGGACGAGATTGAAAACTTGGTCGGCGGCAACATTGTACGCGTCGTGCCATCTGGCCATCGCTTCCAAGTGTCTAGAAATATCATGGAAGAAGGATAACTAGGATGGAATTAACATGACTACCATATACCTTATGGATCAGTACCCACGATGTTGCCTTACCTTTTCGAGTTGTACCCTTCTGTGATCTCCAAGTCGCAAGCCGAGTTGATCCGTGGCTCCATGGCGGGAGTCAGCGTATTGACGATTGACAGGTAGTCCGTCCCCACATGTGTATCTCGACGATACTACCCCGTCATGTAGCAAGGTAACGTTCCGCTTCAAGCCGTTCCCGTCGTACCTTGGATGCACGTTCCGCATGTTTACCGTGGTCGAGTTGGAAGATCAACAGGTAGATGCCATCCAGAAGCGTCGTCGCCTCTTCTCATCGTCGATCTCCCATGTAGATCATCAAGCACACGGACCACTGGGACTTGAACACAGTGCTCGAGTCCATCCCGATCGTGTCGTTTGTGTATCGCATATTCCGCACGGCCTTTGGCAATGCGTCGTCGCACCTGATCAACACGTTCATCCCGCGAACACCTCGCACTCGTACGACCCAGTCGCATGAATTGACCATCGTCTCATGGTCCCGTCTATAGAGTTGATTCAAGACAGCAGCACCACGTCGCAGCGCGGGTTTGGCGAAGTCGCCGCTGCGACCAAGTAACCAGCGCACCGTTGGTTGAGCTACGACCTGGCGTCTATATTTTAATCTATTTGTGTCCATCCTATATTTGCGATTACTAGCTAGCTATGTACAGCCTTGGGTAGTGCATGTATATATATATACATATGGCCTTACCATTCAGGGCTGCCAAATGGACATCGTTTGATAGTAGTAAGCTTATTACTGCTAGCTACATAGTCGAGCACTCTGCCAGTAGGTAGTAGTACAGTAGTGGAGCCCTGGATAGTACAGTAGGAGTAGTAGTACTAGCCAGTCTAGCGAAATGCTAGTTGTACTGTACTACTGTAGTACATGACAATGTATGATCCTCTGGCGAAACTCGAGGTGTGAGCGTTGGTGTCCTGGATAGCACAAGTGTGTCGCAGACTCTGCGACACAGTTCAATGTGTGGTGCTGTTCTGTATGTGGCGTATATATAGTACGTGTAACCAAGGAGTAGCACACGAGCACAAGCACATCGACAAGTTCAGATAGTAGTAGTACTAGCTAGCTACAACAGGTACTAGTAATACTACACGTGTTTCGTCGGTGTGTTTATTTGTAGCTACCTAAGCTACTGTAGCTGGTTACTTGAACGCTAGCCCTGCAAACGGGTCACGGCCGCCACTGGTCTGGCTAGGTCGATGATACCCTTGTTGTTGGTAGC